TATCAATAATGTACCCTTAGCTTGCTTACAAGGCAAGCAAAACTATAGATAAATACGAATCGGTCAACAACTGGACTGGCAGTTGACAATGTTAGAACTTCACACCAGCAATTGAATCATTATTTTTGTCATAAATGTATTAGCATGATAAATAATTACTCCTCTATCAACTATGCCTTTTGCAAAATGCTCATTATAATGGAGTACACAGAATTCATTGAGCCATTTTTTTTCGTAGATTTCCTATATCATCTCTATATTTTTTTGCTAGACCAATATATAAAAGCGTTGTTAGTTGTTTCACTAACCAAGAAAGGCCGAATCTTCGAACTGAATTTAAATGAGCATGTTACATTTAGAATTTAAATCAAACAACTGACAGAATAAGACTTATGTGTTAACAGTTCACAATTTAAACTTGTAAATATCGAATCAAATAAGCAAACGCTGTGGTCTCCTAATTTACCAGTAATTTATAAAGTGAAAAAACATTTGTAATTTTTTCGCATTATTTATACCTCGGCTCTGATTTAAATACGCGCCTCCGTATTTTAAAACTTCGTTTATCAAAGGCGGCCTCAGCAAATCCTTTAACAGTTAGTTCTCTATCGTAAAGGGGTAAACTAGTACTGAGCGTCAATCTACAAACATTTTGTTCGATGTTTTGAGAGAAAAGAATGCTACTAGTAAGCGGCACAAAGTGAACCTTTTTTTATCGGTTTTAAGCCTATAATAATAACCAGAAATTAACAGTAGGACAAATGTCAAAGAAGTATACTCTATTGCCGCCGTTCTGCTCGACTTATTCTTTTCTGTCACAAGGTTTCTGTAGCACTTTTTTTTCGTAACCACATTATCCTATTTCTTAATGCCACATATATTATATCTTATCATAAGTATTTTAATTAATGACCATTTCCGTGACAAAAATTAGCTAAGCTTCCAGCGGCAAAAATCCTAGCTTACTTTATTATATTAACTGCTACTCTAGGCTTCTTGCATCTAACTCGAATTCTTTCTCTCTACACTTTGATTATCGTCAAATACTTAATTATACGTATATAAATCTATATACCTATTCCCGCATTGCGCCTTATAGTCAAACAGGAGGGGAGACTAAATGTGCCCATTTGCTACACAGCCATCCTCAGACATAAAACATACAGAAGATGACAATGACTTCTGATATATATATATATATATACAATGAAAATAAGCTAGAAGTCATTGTTCTACATTCCACAAAATAGAGGGAGACATAAATGGTTATATATACACATCCTATATATATTCATACGACACGTATTTGTCTTGTAACAATCGCTTCGAGTTGTTCCCCTTTTCATACCGCTCTTTACGATAACTAATTATATATAAAAACCATGCTACATACATACATATATATATATACACTCGTAAGTGGTGACTCTGTCCATAGAAGAGTACGAGCGAAATGATTGCAGCAATTAATAATGTGCAGTTGAATTTAAATACCAACTAACTTATGAAGTCAATAATAGAATAATAATAAAAAGCCGTGAAGACGACGAGGAACAGAAAAAATTTGGATCACTCCAGAAAAAGGCTAAAGTGTAATGGAAAATTGAAAATGTGTAGAATTGATTGCAATAACTTTTCAAGCAAGCAGTTATGACACACAGGCATAACCGTGAATGTATCTACTACGCAGTCGCAATAGGGGAGGCTTTATTTCCTTCGTAAGTATCGCGATGTTTGTGAGTATGTTCCTCGTAAACATATCGGCGCCGATATATAAATGGCATGGGTTGTTATTAAGAGTAGATAGGGCTGGATACGGAAAAGACTACGAGGCTAATTTAAGCTGCAAGTCGCAGAAAATAACAAGTAGTCCCTTAATTGATCTATTCCAGTCCAGGATTATTTCCAAATGATAATCGGAGCTGCAATGAATAGAAAACCCAATAGCGCATGTTAGACAACTATGAAGTAAGGTATCTCTTACGGCAAAAAAACGCAGCTAATAAATGATCTCAGAAATGCTCGTAATTAAAATTTGAGCGCATGAAGATAATGTGAGAATAAGCGTGACTGGCTAAAGATAACATACAAGAGAACGATGCTAATAATCATACTTAAACTAACGGAGGTCGTATGAGTGAGAGAAAGATGAATCGAGGGAGGCGACATATTAAAAACAGGGATTCAAACCGATACACTCAGATCTTTGGAGCTAAAACGCGCGGAAAAAAGTTATTTAAAAAAAAAACGAAACGATTGTTCATAGCCGATGAAAGAAGGAAAGCAAACATCAAGACAAATTGTTTGCGACACAGATTAGTTGTTGTTATTTGCTCTTTTATCAGTATCGCTAAATATAACTAACGGGCTAGCTTTTCATTACTTGGTACAAACTGTAAACATACGAAATACGGTACGAGAATAATTCTCAGTAATATTGTTGTTGTTGTTACTGTCATGATTAAAATTTACAGAACACTGCGCAGCGATTGCAAGGTTTTCTAGACCTAACTTATTTACGACTGAAAACGAAACTACAGGGCAGCGAAAGCACTAAAGACACACAAGATTCCATAAATAAAAATCGAGTAATAATAGCAAAAAGCGACAGCATTCACAAGGATCTCTTTGAAATATGGAGGAGAATATCCTTTTTCCGTTAAATGAAACATTAACCAATTTTATAATTTTCATCCATCAACCATCACCTAACCCATATGACAAACGATGTCATCACCAAGCCGACGAAGGGCGAAAACTGAAAGACGTCACAATGAAATAGGTAAAATGAACGAAAAGACCGAAGAACTGGTTATGTTCTTCAGCGAACGCTCGTGCTAAGCAGGACATAGATAAACGTTACACAAAAAAAGGAAACCAGACAGCCGCTAAACTTCAAATGGCTTTCGAGTGATGAAACACAAGTGAATACTGTGATGCGCTAACAGCATTGATAATAATACTAATTATCGTAGGAATATTTTATCTATACGCTGACAGTAGGAAGACAGAGAGACAACTGAAGTGTGAAAACGCCTGAAGATCTCAGATGTAAAAGTGAAAATATAGTGTCTACCCACGACAGGCAGTCGATCTCATCTCGAAGAAGGCAAACCTTATAGAAGAGAGAGACATTTTGAAAAAGTTTTCAAACGTTAAAAACAAATGGAGCATGCAGGAAATGATGATCGCGATATAACAATAATCATACCAAACAAATAATGCGGATACGAACGTGAGGTGAGGCGCAGTACAGGCGAAGTGCGGTGATCATAGGTGAAGCATATGTATATAGGTGCTTCACAGTATTATTTGCCTGTTATTATTAAAACCACTAGCTTTTTTCTTGAATAAATATCAACAACGTTGATCCCGATCTATATTGCCGTCTCTTTGGTTAATAGCGCAGTAATACTACATAAGGTTACGTTGCATTACGTATATATGTTTGCTTACTCATACTATCCGCAAGAAAAACTCTATTTTGAAAGAACTAACAATTCCTATCAGATTGAACCAATTACAGCGATAATCGTATCGGACATCGAGACAGATCTAACCCTGTAGGTATGCCGATCGTTTGTTATTTTAGTGTAGTTTAGAGAACTACTTTTCCTCGAATTATATCCAGCATCGTTCGATGTTTTTTTGCCTGCGAATGCTAGAAACGTGCGTATTATATTTCTTTAATTGTTCTGAGCATTTCTAAGAACAGTGACGGAAGTACGACACGTAAATATTCAGTGTGCTTAAATAAAGCTTTACATTTGATGTTTTCCAGTTTCTTCTAGCAGTTGGCTCGCAGTAAACGAAAATGCTTCACGCTGAATCAAAACCTCCAAGTTATTTATGAGAAATGTTTCAGCCCCAACGATTAATTTTAGTTAAATATTCTTCGGATAATCAAACTCAATCAACCCAGTCTTCAATACGTGTTCTGACTTAATAACCAAACAGGCAACAAACAACTGGAAGATCCTACATATTGTAGCTTTCATATTTTCTTAATATATTGAGTTACGACGTATAGACATCTATATGTACTCTTCCGGATGTACGAACTGTTAAAAACCCCGCTCAAAACCCTGGTTGCTGTGTTTTGGCGCTCCACCGCTGGCTGTTTGATGGCGCTGGGGTCGTGAGGCGAGTTCGCCAGCCAGTAGTGGCAATATAGCAGCACCCGCTATCGCGAATAGGAAACGGACATCTTTGCTTCAATGGTGATGCTGCTACTGCTATCGATTCTGCTGCTCGCTGCGCCCTGTGTGAGTGAATGAGTGAGTGAGCGAGCGAGTGGTGCGCAAGCGAACGAACGAGCGCTGTCCGTAGTTGAATTGGGTTGTATTGCAGCAGGGGGCTGTCTGGGTACAGCAGGCCAATGCGGAGACCAGAAAATCGTTAGAGAGCGCGCTCTGACACTTCAGCGTTTACACTCCGACCGAAATCAGCCTTCTGGAGCCACTACGCACCACACGTGAGTTACAAACTGGTGTGTAGCTGCGAACTAGGTTAACTATAAGGCTTGTGACAGTCTTGCGGACGCAGTCCAGTTGAGTGGCTGTCTGGATCGATCGTAATTCTGAGTTATATGTGTATGATATATGCACAAATATTTGCTCATTCGCCGACGTATTTGCCTTTCGATTTCGCTGTGCTGTCTATAGCAACGACGGGACAGGATCTGTTTGTTCTCTAGTAGATGGCTCAGAGTCAGGTGGTTCAGGAGACTGACATTGTGCGCGGAAAAGGCTTTTATCGTTAATTCCAACCATGTTTTGCTGCCTATTGTGATAAGCAACGAATTCGTGTTTACTATTAAATATATATGAGTTGTAAAAGACCAAGCATGTGCCAAGGCCTTCGTTGGCCTTACTGACATCGTTGGCGGTAATACTAACCCATGATTTGAACGGATACATATCTGTCAGAGTGAGCCTGACGCCTGTGTCTTGCTCCCAGGATTCTACCTGAGCAAATGTTGATGAAAATGTGCGAGGCCATTTCGTCAACAGTAACTGATGTCCGTGCTGTTTTTTGGGCGATGCCAGTGCATTATAGACGACGTGCTGTTCAGGGTTTGACTTGACGTATATTTCTGTAGGGTTTATATATTTTTAGTGAAACTACTGTTATTCCGGTAGCTAGCAGTTGTTACTGTTACGAAAGGGGGCGGTGTCAGAAATTAGAAGCACGTTGGAGCACTGGGCTTTATGAAAGGCCCAGAGAAGACACTCAAAAAAAAAAAGGTGCACGTAAAACTAAATATGTTCGTCCATAATTCGGGTGCAGATGCTTGAGACAGCTAGCGCGATTACCTTTTAGCAGCGTATTTCATTAGAAGATAGCCAATTAAATTACGCTAACGTTTTTTTTGTGGTCAGTGAAACTGCAGTATGTCTAAGGCACCGTTGTTGTGGACTATTGTTACTTGTTAAGACTACGCAACCAGATGCCAAGCGTTTGTATGCCCCGCATTGCACATTTGCATAAATGCGATGCCTCCGTTCGCTGCGTATGTCAGCGCTGAGTTCCTTCGTTCGATACAATTTACGTTTACTACTTTAAGGTTTTCGTATAGATGTAGTACATTTCAATCGTCTTGGCTATCCGTTACCCATGGAAACGTCAGCAGTGTGAAGGCATTAGCAAAAAATGGTGAAATTCGTGTCAATCAGTCTGGAACCAGATGGCTTCGTTTGACTTCGATTCAGTTTGGCTTGCGTCGCCTCGTTCGATGTTTGCTATCGCCTTCGTTTGGGTTTGCTTCTTTAGTGTCGCTAGTCACCAGACAGACGGGTAGATCTTCCTTTCGATGATTTAACGTCTTTCTTCTCGTCACCATCGGATCTGTTGTTATTGTTGTTTTCGTGAGTCCTTCCTTCTTCGCTAATATAGCGGTTGCGCTGTTGGACGGGTCATTGGCTTGATCCTTCCCTCTTTTTCGATCAGACGGCAAGCTAAATAATCTAAATAATGTAGACGAAGCAACAGCCAGCGTTTTCTTTTTTTTTTTCTTTTTATTATATAGTTACATATTATAAAAATGTATCGACATTGACTGTGTATATAGGGAGACAAGAACTATACGTTTTCAAATCTAATCAAATAAACGAACTTAACTGAAGTAAATACTGTACTGGATTATTTTACTGCTGGCCGTAACTGCACCACAACAGGTACAGTATTTGTAATACCTCTATTAACTAGGATTTACTTGTTAGGCTACATGTAGTATATGTAAAAGAAGTTTTTTGTTGCACCTAAAACCCTTGCTACCTAATTAAATAGTTGTTTTCAAAAAAGCTTGAATTAACATATCTGCTTATAACGCTTTTGCAACAGTTGTACCTAATTCACTCGGGTATACATTTCAGCACTTTTAGTTAGGTAGCTAAACGAGTTTTTACAAAATATAAGAGAACGGTGATTCAATCTGCACCTTTTTCATTTCCGCAGTTCCGCTTGTGTCATTTAGTGAGACCTGCAAGAATATTTTTCGTTTGTGTCAGACGCTCATCAACAAAATAAAAATTTCTTTCAAATAACGACTTCGCAGTAATCAAGTATCAAAGAAACATCTTCATCAACGACTTCGCAAGCTGTCAATTAGAGTCAAAGTTATCCGTCGGTAAGTTGAAGTGGTTTGCGCTGTTTTAGCATTATTTTTTTCATTGTTTGGATTTTGGCTAACCAGCAAGATAGGAACTCAGTTCATGCAATGAAATCATTCATTTTCATAAATTGTCGAACAACATTGTTATCTACGACACAGCAGAAGTATGGTAGCTACCTAGTGTGCTCAAGTATCAATATATTCTAAAAAGAAGAAGAATTTTATCTTATTGTATTCTCCACCAACCCCATTGTTGCAAGGTGAAAATACTAAGTTAATAAAAGCGACTAGCTACTTTTTGCCATTCCGTCTTTTTCTATTTCAGCAAGTAATAACCACTCCGAATCAACGAATCTTACTAGCTATATACCTATACCTACAAGTATTAGGTGACGAGTACACTCAACGAACCTATTTAATCAAGAAAAATAACGCAACGTAGAAGCAAAGCAACACTGCCCGCTAACATCTTTGGTAGTCCCTCATTCTTCAAGCTTCCGAGTGGAGGTGTGCGGAAAAATCCACTTCCTGCAAATCCCGCAGGTCTTCAGCAACCTTGCAGATATACCTTAACGAATCTAGATTGCCATTTCATTACTACGCAAAATGTCGGTAGCCGCTCCGCTGTCGAAGTCGTCCTCGGTAAAGTGCGTTCAGAAGCTGAGCAAACCGCGGCCTCTGAAGCTGGGTTCTTCAAGCGAGTCTGAAAATGTACCTCCGTTAGTCTCGCCTGTAGCACTCACTTACGCCAACGTGGACAACATTAATGGTAGGCTTTTGTACTAACTGGTAACGGTTGCCTTGCTCTTGGCAATAGAAGTCCTTAATATCATTGTAGTATTATCGAGTAAGTAAAAAATGTTGTCAAAAGTAACATAAGACCACAAAAAAGATATGAGAAATAAATCAATAGTTATTACAACGGAACTGGACGTTTTGGCAATGTGTTGTGTGGCTCTTTACAGAGGACGATGTGTTGCGCGAGTTAGAAAGTCTGCATGTATCGATTTCGAACGGGAATTACGAGCCGGCAACCTCGGCGCAAGTAGCTCGTGTGTGCCACTTACTAAAACTGCGAGGTGCTCATATGGATTCTGATGGCCATCGCGATCAACTTGATGTCTATATGGTTACACTTCGATCGGCAGCCCGAGATGATCGTTTAGACGTTGCTGCGAGGACTCGCCTTTTAGAGGTGCTGGAGTTGCGCGGCTTAAAATGGAGGTTAACTGATGACGTTGCCGAGTTCTACAAGAAGCTCGAGGTGGGATCCTGATATTTACTATCTGCATTCGACTCTAGATTAGTTTATAATCGGGCTTCTAGTAGTAGGTTTCTGGGATATTAGTGAAGCTTCAATTGGCTCTCAGATTACAAACCGCATTTAACGTTTCCTGACCTATAGATCTAAAGCCTGGTCTATGATTTACTTTTGAAAGGATGTGGAACAAGTGGTTAAGACTCAAGTTATTAAAATGTTCTTTAATCACAACTTCACACATTGACCATTTGAAGTATCACGTGTAATTGGTTCCTAGCTTACGCTAGGATACATAGAGGTCGACAAGGGGGCAGGTAGGTAAATCTTTCATTCTGTGAAAGGTTAATTTAGGAGTCCACACTTCAAAATTATTTTTCATCCTCATCATTAATTACACAACCTGTTGTTGCGCAGACCAATCATAGAGATGTAAAGTTGGTTCTTCGAAATGCGTCAGAGGTGTCAGTTGTACATTAATCAAACCTGCAAGCAAATGAGATGCTTGTGGATGAACACATTCTGCGACACACGAAATGCGGATTATCCCGAATCATTTTTTGGAAAGCTGCAAGGATCAACTTACAAGATGCTTGAGGCGTAATTCCAGTTCCGCGAACGTCACTTCCTCAATTCAATTGAACAGTCAGTATTTTGGTCGTCCCAGTGATGGCGGTCAAGATGTTTGGCGCTATGACCAGGAATTATTCTTGCAGCCGGACTCATGCGCGGTGACGCAAGTTGGAAGTGCAGGTGGAGGCAGTCAGGTTGTTCTGCCGGGGCCCCCGCTGACCCTTCAGCAGGTGCAACAGCAGATACAACAGGTGCAGCAGGTGCCCGCCAACGGACACGGTCACGGTCCGGCTATGATCATTCCTCAATACATACCGTTCACGCAATTCCCAATGCCAGCCGGTAGCCACGTACAGCCTAATGTCTTGGCCAACGTTAATGTCAATGTGCCGCTAGGCCAGGTACGTACACACAAACAACTCATGGTATAAACTCAAAACAAAAACTAAATGAAAGATCTTGTTGAAGCTGCCTCTCTTTTTTCATTTATAATATAGGCAACTATTGTGTAATTTGTTCTTTATTGGCTGCATACAATACAGAAAAAGATACGACTATAGCAGTTGTTCATAGAATGACTACGTACTATACCAACGGGGTGGGTTTTCAAGTTGCATACTATTATTGCTTCAAAAATGACTGGATTCTTCATGCTGAGGGTCGTAGATAATTAGGCTGTATGTATATATGGCCTTGCTGCTTTGTTCTTATATAGAGTTAGATACACTGACCCTTACCAATTTTTCAATGACTTAAAAGTTTTCATATATAATTATCGATTTAATATGTAATTATTGTTGTAACTAAATCCGTTTTGTCAGTTATTTTCGAAAATGACACCATAAGCTTCCGAAATGAAAAAAAATTAGGTCAAGCACAAACATTTTTTGGTTTGTTTAGGGCCGGTTTTTATAGAAGGATGTTTTGCTTCACAGGAGTCGAACTTGTGATTATTATTGTGATATAATAATGATTATTGTGGTTCTGCTGTATGTAGGTGCAACAGCAGGTGCAGGCGGCTGCCGCCGTTCAGGCCGTTCAGGCCGCGGCGGCAGCACAAGCAGCCGCTCAGGCCCAGGCTCAAGCGCAGGCGGCACAAGCGGCACAGGCGCAAGCGGCGCAGGCACAGGCCCAGGCTCAAGCTCAAGCTCAGGCGCAGCAAGCTGCGCAGGCCGCGCAGGCCGCGCAAGCTCAAGCTGCGGCTGCCGCAGCAGCTCCGTTTATGCCTGGCGAAGTTCTCAGATCTTCGGGCAAGTTTGGCAAACCGGCCAAAGTTCCGGGCCGCAACTTCCTCAAGGACGAGGTCATTATACGAAATGCTGACTCCGGAAAAGGTGTGAGCTCAATAAGAGCAGTGATAAATAAACTCACTATTTTTCGGCTCTGGTCTGATTTATCCAAAAATACATACTTAAAATTGTTTTCGCTAGAATATGTTTGCCTTGTTGTCTCTAAAATATTATGTAAGCACTGTTAATATTACATACTCCTTTGATACGTATAACATTTACTTAAGAACTTGCTCATATTGTTTGACCATGTTGTGCTTTGGTGAACCAAAGTTATGGGAATCAAGGGTCGCCGTGTGCATATGATAGAGGAGCTCAGCGATACAGTCATCTCGTTCCAAAGAGGTACGTCAAAACAATGATTTCCGGAGCAAATTCATTCAGTCAATCCTATACTCGTTATACAAATTAAAAAAATGTTCTATATAAAACTATAACGATTACGCGTATCAATTTACAGTAAGTCCAGGGGCCCGGGACCGGCTGGTTCAAATCACTGGACCCACCGAAGAAAGCATTCAGTAAGTATCTCCTAATAATTTACACTCACACTCTATTCCGGTGGACTAAATATTGTACCAAAACATTTTAGGAATGATTGCTTTGCTACTCTCAAAAACTGTACCTTTTTTCCTATGGATAAGATCTTTGTTTCGCCACTTTTTCTACTACTATACCTCTATGTATTCATCCTCTTTATATCTTCTATATGCAGTCAAGCGAGACAACTAATTGAGGAAACGATCAGGCGCAATGCATCACCGGTGCGCGAGCCTTCGTCTCAAGAGGAGGAATCGAGTGGGGCTGGCAGTTACGACGGTGGGCCGCAATCGCCTCCGGCTGGAGCTTCTTCGCCTTCGGCGGGGGCCTCAAGTCCTCACGAAGGACCATTGTCGCTTGGTTCTGGCGGATCGACAGCTGGAGGCAGACTGCCGCCACCTCTGCAGCACTCACTCAGTACAGGAGACGCCACAGCTGACCGCGATTACACCTACATGGTGCAGGGCATTAAGATCAGTGCACCCAAACAACAACTTGCTCTCGTGCGTAAACACCTTTTCTGCTCAATGTATCGCGGTAAATCAAGTGCTACTTACATGACAAATGTTCCTCTCACCGTGTTTATTTTTTTGCAGGCAGCAAAGGCTGTGCTTGAGCAGCACTTTTCGGCAGCAGCCCTAATGCTGACCGAGCCAAATTTCATTCGAGTTAGTCAACAAGGTGGAGGGGGTCAATTGCCCCTTGTGGCAGGCTTGGCTACGGTGGGATCTCGGGGAGCCGGAAACTATTTCGATGGCAGTGGCAAGGGCAAAGCGGGTGACGGCTGGAGCAGTTCGAGCTCCAGTGACGAGGACACTTATCGATGCGACAATGTGACACCAACTGTCAGTACCAACTCTGATGGAGATCGCCAAGGTGGCCATCATAAACCGGCGAGAAATCGGGCCAGGTCGTTGGTATCATCGGAGTGCATTGGTGAAGTCGAGCCGAAATGTGAGGCCGAGGTCGAAACGACCGAAAGCAAAGAGGAAAATATTATCCCCACTCGTGGAAGTGGGAAAGCCGCTAATCTTACCAGGGACCAGTTGCTCGACCTTGCCGGATCGGAGCTCACAAAAAAGGCACCCGAGGATCTCGACAATCTTGACCCAGACTTTGCCGTCGTAATAATGCGACAGGTGGGTAACTGTTTGCTACTTGCATTTTTAAATGGACCTTTGACAGGATAACGAATGTTCATTTTTTTTTAATCGGCAGTGAGTACTAATGGAACTGGATAAAAATTTAACACATAAAATCTAGCACATTTTCTATATCGTTGGTTGTTACAGATTAGATTTGTCGTTTTATTGCTTCTTGTTTCTGTTATTTGCCTCTCAAGGATTTAACAACATTTGATGTCGAGGCGTTCCGCAAGTGGAGTCCGTCTGGCTCCGGGCCGTCATCCGCCTCTTCGAATTCTGGTGGCCATTCTGCTCACCACAATCAGGCACAAGCCTCTCCGCCAGGAAGATCCCCACCTTCGTCAAATGATTCCGAAGAAAACACCTCATAAAAGATCAGTTTCCCATCAATAAATACACAAAAGTAATATATCGACAAATACTATACTACATAAGTATTGACAAGACAAAACGAACAACAGCTGAAATACGCAAACGTTACAATAACAAATACACTATGAAGCTGCCATGAAATGATCAACGAGTCAACGGAGGCAGGTGAAACTTCAAAGCGGGCTTCTTATGTCTTTATCTCCACCCAGCAGTTTGAAGTACAGACACCTTGATGGCTAAGGTCCTTGGCTGAAGACACCCCATTTATCGTGCCCCCTATCGTTGCGATTCCGCGAATGCTTGCATGCACACAGCACAAAATATTTTACGTAGTGTTCGTTTTTCCTTTACAAGAGCAAACGCAATTCAGCGATGTGCCAGGCGGTGCTCTGCTAGGCTGACGCTTCAGTGTATTGTTCAACGATTTGTTATTACGAGTTTGTATTTTTTGTGCCGGAGTCAACGTAATAGATGCCCTAGATATTGTTAATGATGCATTTGATTTTGATAACTTTGTTATTCGCTTTGTTTACCTATACACAGAACATCTCCTAATGTGGTCCTTTACACCCCTTCCAACGTTTCTCCCGCACGACAGCCCACCATGACTTTATGGACGTTGTTTCCCTGCTTTATTTATCGACGATGTGCAGTAGGCGTCGAAACGGGGGCAGTTGAAGCAGCACGTGGGCGACCCATTAAATGTAGGTGCCATTTATTATAGATGCATTGCCATCGTTTTTATGGATGGTGGCTTCAGCTGAAGTGGCAACGACAGCAGTACTAGTAATAGTTGCAGTAGTTGTAGTAGTAGTAAGAGAGACGTACTAAAGCTAGATGCTATCTTATTGTAGCAGCTGTGCATTAGTGTGATCATATCTAGTGAGCGCCGGAAAGATCCAACAGTCAATTTGTAAGATCGAAAAGGGCTGTGCTTCTGATCGGACAAGGTGATATTCTTTCCTTTTGTTGTTGTGCAGAGCATGCCCACATGTGGGTGTACATCGGTCGGCATCTATCACCGAATAGACAAAAGTAGAGTCGAAAACGACCTGTGCAAGACGCGTTTTTTTGCACCCTTCTACGAATTCTATCCTTACATTACACTTAATATCCTAGTAGTCGGACGTATAGCAACCGTTATTGTGTGTATGTAACAGTGTGTGTATACAAAAAATCCAGTGCAATTTGGCAAGAAACAAAGAAGATTAGGAATACAAAATATAAATATTTCATAGTGGACACTATAATGTCGATGAACAAATGCGACTCTGTTTTCACATTTCATCAACAACCGCAAAAAACACAAAAATCAATTATTTGGATAAATGTCTAGTTAATATATTGTTATAAAAAAAATTAACAAACAACATACGCTTAGCACCCATCAGCAGAAAAAAAGCATGTTATGTTTAAATAAACAACAAAAAAATATGCCATACATATGCGAAAAATGACACATTGACTGCGAACAAACACACAAGTAACACATTACACAAAATGACTAAGGTTTTACAGATGTTCTATATATATATATATATATATATATATATATATATATATATATATATATATGTATTTACTTTATTTGGACAGGAATGGTGTGACGACCCATCTGCGACTGTCGTAGTGATATCTAGAACACACACACACACAGGCGTCGGATATACAAACAGTAGAGTAATATGTATCTGATCCGCCTGCGCGACCACTCTTTTTATACTACGAATATATATATATATAAACATACAAGGTGTATGTGAAAATGAAGGTGAAAAAGATTAAGATATATATATATATATACATATATATATATACATGCGCAATAAATCCCGACGAAAACTATTCGCTGATCATATATGAATACGCGTCAGCGTGTTATACTTCAAGGTGGCGAAGAAAGGCGGGGGCCCAGGTACGAACTCGTGCGTTTGTTCGCGGTGTCTCGAACGAACCTAGCTAATAAACGATACGTGATGAGTTCTAAGGATACATAAATTAATATACTGATTGAATTTACTTAATCAACGCCATCTCATGCAGCACAGCCCAGTGCGGTGTCACATATTTGTATGCAATAAAGTAACACGAATAGATGGCTGCCATAACGATTGCTGCACGAATCAATGTGTAGCATATCGCAAAAGCATGGCGGCACATCATGCATCGCTTGGTATTCGAAACGCGACTGGGTAATCAATCATGAATCTAGCACTGTTCTTTGTCACCTTTCTAGTTGCTTGTGCCGTAGTCAATAGATTGTCACTCAGAACCATATATACCGCAGGGCTTAGGGCGGAGATGTGGAACAGTCGGTCAGTTGCTTGTCCAAGGATGTCCTCGTTACTTTAAGAGTCAGACTATTTCTTCTGTATTCAAATTATCTCTATTGTATTAAAAAAATACGGCACTTTCAAATGAGCTAAATAATATCGGTGGATTGTTCACCTGCGACGCTCTTAACGAAGGACGATTGGGAGTTGACCTTAGGCAGTACAGGCAGAAATCAAAGCCTTCGTAACGCGCTCGTGAATGTGCCTAATAGGGCAACTCCCCATAAAAACATGCACCATTTTTCGTGTTTTGTTCTCAAAATAATTAAAACTCGTACTATTATCTCAAATGGCACCCAAAGGCAGCAAGTCAACCTTTCCTCTATTTCCATTTATTTGCCCCGAAACATTGCCGCGGTGAACTTGACCTGTATTACAAAGTCAATGATGATAACAATAAAAATATTGAAGTGGCCTCGGATTAGTATACGAAAACAACTTGTTCAACACATGCAAGGGTGCACATATCATGTTCACTCTTCAGTGGCATGTCCTGTACTAATGGGAAGGTCAAAAGTCGATTAAAAAACTCACTTTACCGACTCGAAGATCCAATCTCCCTAAACTTTCTCTTTGATTGATTGTTAGAAGCAGTATATGCTACAAATAGTTGTTATCATCACATTCAACCTCTGCTGACTTTAGAACTCTTTACTCTATATTGCTGCTCTATATTCATAACAACGATGTAGTCGAACATCGATAAATCGAGGGATCTTACATAAAAGAATAGCAGCCATAATGTGCTATTGGTCTTGAGTTACTCCCTGAAAATATTGTATCGAAAAGATAACGAAACTAACAAACCAAAATTTCAACCATATAGGGTAACTTATTATCAGAAGGCCCGTTATGGAGATAAACCTTCACTGCTCTTTTTTGGAAAATTTCTGATCAAAAAGCCTTGAAGCTGTCATCTTTTTTTTGCAAGTTCAGTGGTACCAATAATGATCCCTTGCTTGAATGAGGCGTTTCATTTTTATCTTGTAGCGTTATATTGCCCAGTAGCATATGGCTGTTATTGTTTTAGATTTACAAAACCAGATTAATCCAAAATGGAAGGTACCATACGCGGACAAAGCGAATGGGTAGCTTAACTGCTCGAAACGAAAAATGCAACGATAATGTGGCGGCAATAAGTGTAATATTGTTTCAAGATTACATCTGAGATGATGGGACTACCGATATATATGTGGTGCTCCTTAACTACTAACACTAATGGATGCAAAACTGTTGTGCGCTAGTGTTTTTGACAACACGTAAATAGTATGAGGGACACCGATAACAGCTTGGGAAATACTCGGTCCTTTATCGTATTGTGCACGGAGCAACACGGAAGTTTAAAAGAAAAAGGCAAAGAAAAAATACGGGAGAATGACAATAGGCGAGCAGAAAGCAATGAACCTTTCAAGTATTGCAATAAAAAGAAATTAGGGAGTTTTTTTTAGATCAACACCTATCTGACTGTGTTTTATTTGCTTATTGACGTTATAACACTAAAAAACAAGATTAATGAAGGGCGGAAGACCAAAGCGAATCTAGTTAATTTGAACTTGAAAAGCCTCGTTCGCTTATTATTATTATTATTAAGTAAATTGTTAACAATGACCTATTTAAGCGTGGAATGTAGTACTTCTGCTTTTAAACAGACCACTCTCGCAGGTTCCGTGTCCACGTGTAAAATCTACCACGAGTTATGAAAAGGATCGTAAAAAATTAATTTTTTAAAGCCCTAATAACATCGGTATCGTATTCACAATGCAATGTTTAATAAGAACGAGGCTGCCTATTACATTTTAGTTGAATATTTTGATCATTCATAGACTATCTTCATAGGCCTAAAAAACTACACCACAAAAATTTATGTGATGAGTACATCCATCGAATACAACACTTTACCTTTTTATGTGTAACGTACCAAGACAAACAATTGGCACATCTTCCGAGTAAACGAATTTTCGTACGTTAGGGTTTTGCAAATCATCGTATCTAAAATTAATTACAATTATATTCTAATTCCATTTTATCGAAGTTGACGTGTTCTAGTTGGAGGAAAACGAAAATATAAATGAATATCATGTTAATACATCTTTTAGACAAACCAGAAGTTTTGCATTAATGCTTGCTGGACCATAATATAAAAATCGGAAAATTATTTGTAAGAGTTGTTTCGGGTACTCACCGACAATGGTAACACTACGCCCTAAGTGACGAAAATCACTTAGGTTATACACGACGAGAGTGCTCGAGATTAACTTAATATATGTCCAAAAACAAGATTTACTAAAGAGCGGTTTAACAAATAAGCATCCTTTATGGTTTCTAGGTGAGTTTTTAGTCTTAGTCTCCATGATGGCTTTGTGGATAAAGTATATGCTTGCTTATTTTAGGGGCACGTTGTGGTCTAAGTTTGCATCCGAGCATAGGCAGGCTTCGTTTTGTGTCAAGAGCCAGCCGTTTTATGGAATGCTTAAAGGCCATACCGGACGTGGAACTCGAAACATAGAGAGGTTAACTAACCAATAGTACATAAAAAAAAAACTTCAATCAAGGGATGTTCTTTAGTGGGTTTTTCATATTTCACGCCTCGTGATTAAGGTAAGGAAGTATTGTTCCAGACGGCTTGCTGCTTAACATGAAACAAAGTCTGTTTACGCCGAGATTTGAACCTAATCCATGAAGTCATCTTCATTTTTGACATACAAATACGATACCCACTGCGTTAAGAAGGGGATAGTGAACATAATAACGTGCATAAAAACTAAAAATTAAGTGCCAGACAGAAACATCATAACTCGCTACTGCATTTGGAATAACATCTTCAATGCAATCGAAGAAGTCTTCCCCAGATATAGACAAGTCAATCATATCTAAGCGAATTATTTTTGCCTTTCCTAACCAAATAAAATATCCAACCTATACAAATGTCCTGAAAGTGTACAGCTCTTCAGCAAGCATCTATTAACGGTTAAACGCATACGACGCTAAAAGGAACTGAGCTTTACAAACTGACTACGTATCTTAACAAATCGCTCCAACATCAAGATTGTCTTCGTTTAGTTAAAGAATATTTAGTACTTAGCGGTAAGTTAAAACGCACGAAGAACTTCCTTGCATGAGATTAATATATATAGCTAATATATATAATAATAATAAGATATAAGGAACGAAGCTCGTTTTGAGAAGGCAGTTTAACTTCTTATATATATATATACCTTCTCAAAACGAGCTTCATTCTTTCAAAATCAATTGGCCTTCCGCAAATTCAAAGAATTGCGGGTCTGCCGCTCAACGTTGAATTCCCAATACAGTACGCATATCCCCCCGTGTAATCTTATCATCGAATAAGCGGTGGGGTTAATTATACCACACCTAATGCATTTTCATAATGTTGATATCTGTATCTATACGGCAAAGACCATTGTCGGCAGGTGCTGCCATTGCCGATTTACTTTTTGTAGCGAGCTATAACGCTCCTCCGAAAAGGTGGCCTCTTCCTGATCTTGCGCCGGGTGCAAGACAAGTAAGAACATCTATATACAATAATAGAAACCTGTGTTTCAGCGGATATTTGTTGGGCTTTTAAACGTTCACCCACTTTTTAATGGTTGGCGTCTTTTTCGTGATATGACTATGACAAGAATTGAATCATGAAAATTCTTTTGCACGAATGCTTGTGCTAGTATAACTTTCCCTCAACTTTTAACAACTGCTATTATTATCGGATATAATTAGTACTATTGTCAAGCTTGTCAGACAGTAATTTCTGAAATTTTGCTACTTATGTACTTTTTCTGATTTACTTTTCTTTTCTAAACTTTTCTCTGCTCGGTGCCGAAGCGGTCTGCATTTTGGGTGGGTCCGTCAGGAGCAAATTTTAGCAAAAACACGGCAAAAATACCGCGTACTCGACGTCGCGTTCCTTACGACTTCCTCGCTGGAAAAACATATCTAGGAAAACAAAGATCGTCTCTGAGACTGGCAGTTAATGAGCAATATTGGGCAACGCTTGCCGAGATCAGTTTTAACATTTCCAAGTTGGCGATTCCAATTCTAACCACAAACCATGCTTTAAACAGCAGTAAGAATGTCAACAGTAGGCTCTATAGCATAAAAATTAAAGCCAAAACGTTAATAGCTATTTATCTCTCTCAGGGAAGGTTGAACCCTTGTAAAAGTTTGCTGTACTTGAAATGATTTAAAAACAAACGCTTGGTCGATTCAGTATAATCGTATCTTAGTAATCGTATCGTATCGTAAGTTAATTGCTACCTAATTACTTTATTACTTATTCCACAGATAAGAAGCTTCTGTGGCCTGAAGGCCGTCGAAGCGCCTCTATTTACTTTAGTCATTGAGCTTCCGTTAAAAATGATAGACCTTGCACTAAAGGTTTATATGGCTTATATATACTTATTTTCGGGACCTCTAGGGTGCTCTTCTGATTAGAAAATGGGTAAACGTGCATAATTATTATAATGAATCTATTACTGTCATGTACAAAGTGGAATTACATTATGTTATTGTCTCGTATGACCTTTATGAAGTTATCTTCTTTGACAAAATCGATCCTTGCAGCCGCTAGAAACTCACTTGTTTAGAAGCAAAGTATCAATGTAGCCGTAAAATCATAGTAAACTGAAATTAAGAGTAATTTGTGAAACTGCTATTGATAGCACTATTTTTGCATCTCTGTCCTCTAAATATTTTGAAAAATTTTGCGATTAACGTCCTTCAATTGTACCAGAGACGGGGCTATCCCTCATCACTGAAAAACGGAGTCGGAAGCCGAGGCTTCAAAGCAAATATGTTAGATTGACTAAGATAGTTTTTACAGTGTCCTCTTTCTAACTTGTTGGTTTAAATTGATTGACTTACTCGTATATATAATTCTATGAGCGCGGTTGAATTCGAAAATGACTTAAAAATAATTTAGTGTTACATTTACATGAATATTTTCTGCACTACTTTTTCACTCATGCTATGGCTTGACCGGAATACACTTCAGAGATTGTTTTAAAGAACTGATTGAAAGAACGCTTAATGTACTTCTACTGCTGAAACTTCACGGGTGTCACGAAGGACCGTTTCGACACGAAAATCTCCGTCGTAAGCGTTTAGCGCGAAACATCTTAAAATTTTGACCTGTTTCTTAGTTTTAATCAACTAGCAAGGATAAAAGCTCGACCCAGAGTCAACATTATACATCTGATGGGGTGCAAGATAAACCCAATTTATTTCACTAGCACTTATGTGATGCCATATATAATCTATGCGTCCATAAACATTTAAATACTTAGCTATACATTGTTTTTCGGTAGATGTTTGTATAACAGGCAAACTTTATACTCAAATCTACCTGATGAAACTTCTCCTATTACATTGGGCTGATCTTATCTAAAGATAGCAACATAAACGCTATAACCGTTGCTGGATTTAAGTCAAATACGCGATGGTTCTAAATCTCCGAAATTAGAACATATCATCATAGTAATATATCATCATGATAAAAAAAACAGTAATAACAATAAAACCACCTGATAACGGTCACCGTTCTTTTGTTATTATCGTATTTATTTGAGACGCTTTCACATAAGCTCAACATGTTGTAACTTTTGCTTCGTGTCGATATCACGTTCGTTTTTAACAGTATCCGTATATTCAAATCATTATGATAAAACTATTTACAACTTCGCGAAAATATGCTATGCCACTTTGGCTGTTGTTAAATTGCATCAATGACCATTTGATACTCAGGTAAGGCTTGGTTATCTCGGGTGTCTGTCACTTTCGAGCATAGACACAATAGTTGCAATTCATAGAAACATGCTCAGTTTAACAGGTCTTAGTCTACAAAACCTCTACCAGAGAAAGGCAATATGCACAAAATTTTTAATGTTGTTGCTGGTGTTCAATAACTTGCTTACTCCATTTTCTCGTATTTTATCATTTTATCATATTTTGTGTCTACTACACAAAATATGATCGTCGTTAAACCAGAAGTCAAGACCAGGATGGAGCCCTGAACTTTCCATAGAACAAATATGAAGTGCATAAACCTGGTCTAAAGGCCGAGCTTAGCATAGGTATATACCCCTATATCATGAGTTGCATATCGGACGCGTATACAAATAAATATACTTCATCTAATTGCTTGAGGTAATGTAACGACATCTTTTTAGGACATAATATAGATACAGGTATTCTATTCTGTATAAATAGAAAAAGCCACCATGAACCTTAGTCAGAAAACGGCCAACTGTTGTCTATCCTCTTGATCTCAGTATTTACATTTTGATGTGCACCTTCCATGCGCGATTTGTATGGAAGAAGGCGTTTTAAGAAATACAACACGGGTATAATAATTCGTAATAATAAGAAAAATAAAAACGATAATATCTCAATTTAACAATAAGTATACAACCGAGCAATCTAACCCACATAGATCAACCAACGACATGAGCCGCCCTCTCCTATACACTCATAATCACATCAGGGGTTACATAAATCAACGAAAATCGTATCGACAGATATCCCATAGTCCATGTTCGTTTTTGCGGAAGAAGTGTGCTGTATTGTCGGGAAAGACAGTGACTGTGGGAAATGGGTTTTGCTGGATGAACTTGAAGGTGGCGCGAACGTTCATGACAAAATGCGCGGGCTCAACCTCAGGGGAAGTCGACAGGTTCTGCAAGATGAAGTCGTCACTTTGCTGCAGCCACAGGTCCACACCTGATACAAACACAAGCATACCGCAGTTCCAATGCCATGTCACATACGCATTGATCAACAAAAAAAAAATTAGTAATGATAGTGATATTAATAACAACAATGTGAAAAGCAGGGCCAAATAATTGGCGAAAACTTAACAACAGAGAGAAATACACGGATAAGAGAGTTGAATAAGTGTAAAACGTATATGGAACGAACAATGATACAGAGGTCTGCTTTCAGTAGCTGCCAACTACTAGTGTTATGGATGCTCCATTGAACAATACGCAAATTTATAAATATGTAAAGTTAACGCACTCGGTAAATTAATGTTATATTATTGTCGACACATCGCCTGATAGGTTTAGTTAGAAATATTACAGAGTTACTTAATATATGATAATGCTTTAGTCACTCACCCCTCATGGGTTCATAATTGAACGGCCCAATCTTCATTAAGCCTAGTGAACAGTCGTACACATCAAACATTACATGCTTGACGTCTCGCGATCCCGTGAAGAAGACGGCACTCCTAAGATCTAACTCTGGACCCTTATCAGGAAATGAGGCAAGGAATATTTCACCGGTTTTGATTAGCACCCCAACACCTGTCACGATCGGCCAATTCAACGCATTTCTATGCGTAGTGTTGAGTTCACCAACGCACATTTGTACCAAATGTAAGCGTATGGCCTGTTTATGCAGAGCGTATAGCACCTGCATGCTGATTTGCTCAGACAATTGACGCTGATCTAAAAACCCTCCAACAATGGTAACCTCAAAACGATTTTGCTTGCTTTCAGGTTGCCCATACTGAGAAACACAAGTAGCCAAAGGAACGCGTTATAGCAACAATATTAAGAAATGCTGAGAAACGTTTCAGACTTTCACTTAAACCTTGGATCACATTTCGGTTGGTAAATTCAATAGGTTTTTATGGCAGAAGGCATAACTTTTACGTCGGAGAGGTTATTTCTTTAGTGAGAAATAGTTGTCTAAAGTGCTATATGAATTTCAATATACAAACAACGACAAAGATTCAAGCAAATTTCGAAATTCTGCTTACCTGGTACTGTTCGTGCGACAGATCATGCAATTTGTGAATTATCTTACTGACGCCATCCTCAATACCGTTTCCATCGAAATGACCTAAACCAACTGCTCCATTACCCGTGTGGCGAATAATTACGCATTGACACGTCGTCATGTCGTCCGTACCTATGAAAAATGATTCAGAAGCACTCTGCTTTCAATTGACTTTGTCGTAATAAAATTTCAGATTTTGTGTGGGTAATTGTGTAACGTTCACTAGATAGGTCTTTAATAATATACAGTTAGTTTAAAAACATCTAATTGGCTTCTAATGCTTTTTTTGTAAGATGAGCTGCTTCTATTATTCTGTCGAATTTCAAAGTGTAAAACGATATTCCCCACGTTTCTTTGCACCGAAAAAGAGTTAATCCAAATCTGTGATTTAATGAACTTCTGAAAATAGCGGTTTTAGCTTTTTACCAATGATTGAGACATGTTTATCAGATGCAGCGGTTACTGCCAACTCCCGTTGGTGTATGTACAAGAGTCCGTGTGGGCTAACCACTTTAGCCACTTGCGATACCAGGAGTGAGCTCATATCCTTGAAGTGTGGAAAGCGCTCGAATAGGCTGTGTGTATCCACTGGCATGAAGTCGAGAACCTGGTCGTTAATGACCAACGGCATCTTGTCTTTACTTAATCTCGCGGTATTCTATTGTATAACCACTGAACACCGCTGAAAATGATTGAAAGTAGAGCATAAATTTGTATCTCAGAATTTTAATTTATCTATACAAAACCAACTTTAGGTAGCTCCTGTAATATGCATAAAAGTTAATTGGTACCAGGAAGCAGATAAGGTTATATTAAGCGCTAACGACCACAGGTAAAATCATTATACTATGCTACCATAGTCACTTCTTTATGTAATATATGATTCTGCATAAATCGAGCCAATATGAAATTTTTCCCTGATATTTGCTACTCTTGAGCTTGTCTTTGTTCGGTAAACCGTGACAGAATACACGATTTTGGTTTGAGATAACGGATTGATGTGTAAATCTTCACAAGTAAATCTCTGTAATATAAAATAGGGCTGATTGATTCGCCAAGCATACCTAACCCACTAGGCCTCTGCTTAAACCGATGAACTTTTAGAGTACCATAATACATTGCATATTTCACTGCATTTCCAAGACAAACTATATATCCTTTTTCCACAAATAAAACAATACTAAAACAAGCTGTAATGGTTTAAATTACAAAAATATGTATAGGCAGTAAAACTCTGTAATATATCATAAAAATTTAACAGGCAATGACGAACCCATAGCCAAAATGAGAGACTGGAGGCCACTGTTCTGTGTATCTCGTCAAATTCAGGCTACAAACGACGTTCATTTCTCAAATAACAGCGCGAACGTTCGAAATGATGGAATACTTGCTGACGATACGGCTGGTTTTGAAACGAGCGGCACACAGGATAACAGAGAAACACGAAGTCCTCCGACTGAATGTTATCTATTCTACCTAGAAATGTGTCGGCTTTGTACCGTGCACACGCACGGATACCTATTATATTAGTAATAATTTAATTTGGGTTGACTAAATCGATATGTGCATCACACCTATACTGCAAGTTCCTCAAAAAAGTTGATGTTGTTCAAGGCGTCAAATTTTGATTGCTACTTTTCACAAAACTCTACGATAAACGTACACAGACAGAGAAGTATAAGCACACGCAATCCTTTACACTATAGATACGTAAAATAGCATGGGTATTCGAATCACTTCAAAGCGAATGTTTAAATCCTCTGTTTTCATATCAGGAAAGTTGGTCAGTCGTGACCAACGAATTGCTATCAACTGTCAGTTGTGCCTGACTCATGAGCCTTTCCCGGAAGATCAGTGATGACTGAACTCACTTGTAAGAGCACCTGAACACTCGCAGCTGCTGTTGCCGCTCGTTCGCAATTGTTTTACGACCTTTTGGGAATTCGCGCTCTCCTCTGAACTTATTTAAATTCCCTTCTGCTATGTGTATTGTCCTATAAAGAACTGAATTAAAAAATTAAGGTTGTCCTCATTCAGACTTCAACAGTTCGGCGACTGTCTGCCAGTTTCATCGGGGTCGCTTCCCCGTTGGCGCTGTGATGGCGTCAGGTCATAGGTCAGCTGAGCCGTTCACCGAAAAAAGGAATGTCTACCCAACCCTGCGGTGATGGCGAAGTCAACCATTGTGGGACGATCAACCATTCGCCGCTAGCGGCTTCGTGGGAGAGGGCAAACAAGCTTCTTCTTTCCCATATGAAGAAACCTCACTGATGTGCACATCAGCTGATGCTTCTAAAGTGCTCCCATCGGCACGGTCATACTAACAACGATGCATGTCAGTTACCCTTTGACAGGCCTTGCGAAATTATTTCAGTACATAGTGAATTTAAATATAATAAATATATTGTATCTACTTCATTTGCTTATTAAGAGGCCTTCGCCTACATTTTGCAGGTAATGAAGGTTAAGGGTATTTAACGTGTGACATAGAGTTAGTTAATTGAGTTCCTTCCAATTGACACAAGTTTCAAGGCATTTTATGTCTAGATATGACTACCGTTATGACTCATATATATAAATAAAAAAGATACATGAAAAGTACAGTTTGACACGAGACTTTTCTGACTGAGCATATTGTTTGTTATCGTTTAGCTATCGCACATCTTTGTTTACTTCTAATATTCACACTAAAGGCCATTTATAGAAAAAAAAAACTGTGTCTACAGAGCTGACACGTCTACCGTCCTATCCGGCTATGATGTTCTGCAGCAGAGAATTGCCGTGTTTTCTGAACGTGTTCAAAAGTGTCCGGTAAGATCAGGCACCTTGCAATATTAAAAAGCTCCACGCAGCGCTCGTCCTTTTAATTAATCAGTAAGCAGACGCATTGATAATTTTGGTGCACCGATAAGCAACTGGAAAACTAAAATCTTAATTGGCGCCAAAAATCTGCTAATGCTTAACAAACGGGAAAGTGTTTTATTGAACAAAGCATTCACATTTAGAACAGCTTAGTTACACGCTAGAAACGAAATATAGATTTCGTAGTATAATTTTCTACCTATAAAATTATTATCTTATTTTACACTCTATACGGCACAGCGTCGAACAATATAAGGAAAGAATTTTTAGTCAGTCCTACAACCTAATTGCAATGTTCAGTTAGTATCATCATCTTTAATTGGCGGAAGTCGGAAAATTCGAATTCGATATCAGCTGGCAGTGTCTATTGACACAATTATTTTGTTCTCGAGAACAAAATGTACGTGCAACCGTTATGCGGCTATTGACTGTGTTGTCCTGTAGAACTTTTTCCAAACCCTGTGATAATTTACTCTTAGTATTAGTAGTCAGTGGTCATCGTCAAGTTGAGTAATGGCATCGGGAAAACTCATTGGAATAGAAAATTCTGCCATTTAGGTTAAGAAACGAAAAGTCGAATAGGATACAAATAGCCGACTTACTTCTGGTTTGCCACCAGGAAGGTACACAATTGCTGCTTGACGTCCTCAAGGGTAGGCAGGAGATTTTTAGGAATATAATTTGAAGAAAGACAAGACTATTAAAGCAGTGTATGACTTTGCATTTCAGCAACGATTTTGAGAAGATGTGTGGTTTGGCGCAGATACTTTCAGATAATTTTAAATTGATTTTGTTTTATTGCAAAATTAATCAAACTTAGACTATCACAGCGTTTTGAAATACTGCGATTACACGCCGGTGTGTCCTCTTAGTGGTGCGGGAGTAACTTGATCTAGGTCGAGCAGGAGGGCGAGATTTAGCTAAAGAAAGTATTCCAATAATCTCAAACGGATAACTAGTTTATTGGGGTCGACGAAGTGAGTTGCGCGTCCTGTTTTGCCGACTGAGATAAGCGGTACTTTCGGCGTTATTTATGTCCTAATCTCTGGATATCATCACGCAAGGCATTCAAACATATAAAGAACTCACTGATGCAAGAAACGCTGTTAAAGTTTGGATAGAGTTTGGAGAAAGTTTGGGTAGATAATAATAAACCTTTAGTATAATGACTGACCCTTTGTTCTTGAGTTTTTTTTATCTTATGCGGTGAACAAATGAACTTTACGCTACTAAATGAAAGGCGTTTGCTGAGATCATGTATCGTAAAGTGACCTAGTGCATATGTACTTGCGGCCATTAACTTTCCGGGTATTATTAACTATTGTATTCATAGATAGCATAGATAGATAGTTAATCGTCATATTAAAACAATCGAACGTCTAGTCGAAAAGTCTTTATCCGTCCATATACGTCAACTGATTCATAAATAAACAAGAATATTACAAAACGAGGCAAAGGGAATTTTTTTTTAATTCAGTGCGTTTTTTCTTCAATCGGCTTTATTGGAAATCGTTATCACTCAAGGCGTATTTGATAGCTTATAAAGAGAGATAAACTTTGCAGGTTTCTTACGTACTACGTTACGTAGAACGGTTTGCAATGTCGATGAACTACCACATTATCGGAATGTAACGTTTATATTTTTCTAATTTAATAATATTCGCGAAATGTGATTTTAGGATTTTTGCACCTGTTAGGCAGCTTGTATACTCAACTCAAATCGGTTAGATCAATCTGATTTTAGAAAATCGTGTAGAACGGTTCATCTAAGGCAGTACTGCCTGCGACGTAAAAGATGCCAAACGCAAGGTACCTCTAAGACTGTCATTTCTTGAATGGTAAAGGCTTTTAGGGCACTCGGATACTTTGAGATAATTGTAGTGTTCTTCTACTTACTGTATTTGTTGCTTTTTGCAGACTAAATACAGGTTGGGTAGTGAAAATAGGTTGCCGCCTAGACTACTTAAGCCCTGTACTAGTCGATTTAGTGTCGGTACTTGAATCTTCGCAAATGCCATGAGACTGCCACTAACATCTTTACCGAAACTACCTTCGAAGCGCAACACACTGAGTCCGGTGAATTAATGAGTCTAATTTGCACGAAATCTTCTGGTAATGCGAAATGTTATCATGATGCGTTAAACACCATTTCACTTATTAACTATAATCAGGGTAAATCTATAAATGTAACGATCTAAGAGGCGACAACAAATTAAAACTTAAAATAAAATATTTAAAGCTAAGTGTACAAGTTATGAAAACATTTCACAAGTGTTAAATCTTTAGAAAGTGAGCAAGATCTAAATTTGCAGGAAATAGCCTGGTGTTCCACATTTATTTCAGCGATTATAGCAGATTTTTAGAAATAATTCTGCGCTATTTTGAGAAATTTGAAATGTATAATAGAATGTTGGAGGCTTCTTTAATACTTATAGGCAACGTACTAGAAAATTAAGAAGTAGTAATGACACGTAGAAAATTCGTACATCCCGTTTGTTTTCATTATAAAATAATCGCAAGCAATTGCTGTGGCCTACTAGGTTGTTTCCAGAAGCTTAGTGATATTAGAAATTTTCGTGTTACAGTACATAATCATTTCGCTCACAAATAATATTGGCCTGTACAGATATACATACATATATGTATACAATCAATATGAATAGTATTTCTGTCTGTCTTTTTTCTTAATATATATTTGTTCACTGGTCTAGTTTTTTTGCGGTACTTTGATGTTCTTAAAGAGATTTCATCGAAACTAAAGTAATTAATCACGTTAAACTGTCCAAAACTCAGATCCAAATTCTGAATTTTATACTGCGTTCCTTATGCGTATGGCTGGGCTTACATGCTCGAAATGTTCCTCGCACGGCTTATGGGGCAATCCCACTAAGGTAAACATTAGCTTGTTGACTAGCTATTCGGAGTGTGCTAACTGCTGTAATGACTCCAATTGGCATTACGACAGTCGGAACTCAAATCTGCGTTAGATTGGCTTTGCGAATTTTATAGGCTATGTTGTTATACTAATATACTCCAAAGTGGATTCCTAAAAAAACATGCCCACGGACAGTAGATTTTCTGTGCTGAGGGGTTTCAGAAATGCACAAAAAAGAGCTTTCAGTACATCGAGAATGTTGCGGCTATTTGCATGTAAAATCTAAAACCGTAAGAAACCACTGACATGTGATAGCGCGAGGTTGGGCAATGGCCAATTAACTAGAATATGGAGAATGTATTGTTAGCGGAGATGATGTCACGAAAAAACTGTATTTTTAATTTAAAGTATAATCTTACCATTTTCTCACATTATGTCAGCTAACATCTTAAATCATTTTCTATGAGGGGTAGCTTATGGATAGAGAACGTCATGCCTATAAATTAGTTGAAACAACCCGAGATAAACCGTATTTATCTGAAAACCTAGAAACTACCAGGCGTAAGTATCATATACAATAAGTTCTGGGTGCTATATGCTTGATTTCTACTTGTTAGAACTAGAGGCATCGTTAAACCGTTATCAATGCACAAACTGGTACCTGTTATTGGTTATACCATAGCTAAGTAAGTATTATATGTGGTCACACATGGTTATATTTAGCTTAGACTTATTTCCTAGGATTTAATGCTTGAACTAAAAATATAGGGATTAGGGAGGTGCCTGTATTCATTGACATTTTAACTGCCTTTTATATAATTTACATGTAATCATATTATTATTATATTACACGTTATCATATTTAAATTGATTACGCATTTTGCATGGAATAGGCGTTAAATCAGAATAAAAGTAAGCCAAATAGTAAAGCAGATAAGCAAATGGGTACTAACCTTTTTGTATTACATAAATACAAAAAGGTTAGCATAAATAAATACATACAAGAAGCATAAATTCGACAACTGAATCTACTAGGTTGTTTGCCTGTGTCTTCGAAACATTACGTACAGGAGACCGATCAGACATAGCATTACATTTCCCTAATGCAAAATGAATAACGTATAACTCGGTTTACGAAGCACTAACGTTTTTCAGCGAGTTTTGCCCTAGCCGTGTGGCTCGAAACGTTCGTGTTCGTGCATCGAGGGCGGATCGGCTGGCTAACAATTCCAGTGCGCGTAACAAATATTCAAGCAAGTGCCGCTTGGTTCAACCATGGCGCAAGCGAATTGAAGAGTTAGCCGTTTTTAGCACGAAGCTAACGTCCTCCTGCGTGTACCAGCGATGTTTTCAATGTTCATGCTAGTTCAATTATGGCCAACATTCCCGGCTTGCATGTTGTGTGATAACTTGGTCTACTCTCATGGCTATCACTGTAAATCAGTCAGACAGTGTAGTTGCCTACCCTTTTTAATTCGTCGTCCGGCCGAAAGTGGCGACGCGTGCTTTTTTTTGCGGTCG